TGGGCAAAATATCATAACAAATTATATTTCCATTTATATAATTGAAGCCACCTACGGAAGAGGTGCATCTCGGTGAGGTTTCTCAGATACTTTGAAAGGTGCCCATTTTTATTTGGGTATGCAAGATTTTGTTCATCTTAGGATGAAAGCACATGCGGATGGTTCAAATCAATCAACCGAAGAATGGTCGACCATAAACAACCAATAGACATGGACGCGCACAAAATGAATCTCTGATATTCATTAATGCTTCCACTGGTGGTGTAACTTCGTTACCATAAATCCGGTGGACTTTCACAATCCCCAAAGAGAGACTTATGTAAGGGTCGGGTGGCGAAGGGACGATCGCGCAGGTTCAGATCGCGAAATATGAGATGTTGATGAATACCTTTGGAGTATGGTAAAGGAACAAGGATAAATTGACTGCGTCACACGCACTCACAACTCATTTGTTTCTTCGGTCTCATCGAACCATTTGACCGTTTCTCGTTTCTCTTATCACACACGTCTTGCTCATATTGTAGCAAGTGCCATAATCAACAAATTTTTTGGTGGCATTGTGATTGTATGCTATCGTATGCATTGTCATTGTTGTTCGAATTGCGGAGGTTGTATATAAAAATGTTGTGGGGTGCGTAGAAAGAAAATGATCGCGCGTTCGTTCGTTTGTGGTTGATTAGTGGATGTTGAAGGATGCATGCCTTTATTCTAACGTTAGCAAGAAGAATATACAGTATATAATGCACAGCAAAGCAAATAGTGCCACATCCAACAAAGCCCGTCTAAAAAAAAAGAATAAAAATAAAAAATAATGCTTTTTTTTTTTTTTTGACACCTTAAAAAAAAAAAAAAAAATCCCCATTTAAATAAACACAACAATACTCAGAGTTTGCATTGTTCATCTATTTTTTTTCGTTTGTTTGATGCAAAATACACGCGACCTGGCATCAATTGACATACAAAAATCGTTCCTCCTTCTAAATTTGTCTAATTTTATCTGAATTTTATCAGATTTTGCCTAATTTTGTCGCCCGCGAATGGTGAAAAAAGGAAAATCTGCAGAAACAACAAAAAAAAATCTGCATCTTCGCCAATTCGAACTTTTTTGGTTACGTCATCTTTTAAGAAATTTTTTTAATGCACGTAACTTTCTATAATCACTGTGATAATCAGTGTGTTTTTGAAGCAATACACACATATATATATAGTACACGCACTGTAACCCGTGGCTGGATAATGGGGACTATTAAAAAAAAAAATTTTTTTTCAATACCCAATGCTCTTACTAATCCAATCCTTTTTACTTTTTATAATATCTGGGATAATTGTACATGTGTCATCGTTGCCGTATTGAATTGACCACTACGCAGGCTGCGTCCTGATTGAATACAAAAAAGAAATAAATTTTCTGGTCAAATGCATAGATCACATTCGGTGTTCTCGATAATTCGTAAAGCACAAATGCCAGAATCAAAAAAAAGTCTGACGGCGTAAAATGGACATACTACCTGTCATCATCTGTTATCTTTTTTTTCTACTTAATTCCTTACAATGAAAATTACATAATGGTTATGACCAGCTTGACCTTTGTTATCGACTTTTCAGCGAGTTAGGATAGAGATTAGGATAATGGAGTTTTCTATTTTTGGAAAAAGCAATTAAACGTTTAACTAAAAATCACATTGGGATCCAATGAAGTAAGTCTAAAACGACTTCACGAAGGTTATCATTACACACATGAAAAGTGACATACGACAACATTCTATATATGTAAGAGTGAACAGTGAATGGCGTCTAGTTAAACAATGAAAGGAAACAATCACAAATCCATAATCAAATTAGGTTTTCATCCGACTAACAGGAATTTCGTATAAAATCTCGAACAATTCACACACGAAAATTTTCCTTGTGCTTTCATTTCCTTTCTTCCTTTCGATCTCTTCATTTTACAATAGAACTTCAACCATCGTTGAACCTCACGGAAAGAAGGGAGGGTATGAGTACCAACAAGAAAATGCGGAATTGTTTCTAAGCTCCATGTGTCAAATCACTTTATGAAAAAAAAAGTAAATATATATTCTTTTCTACTTGATGTGATCTCAAACATAATTTATCAATTGCTCAAATTTTATGTTCTGCACAGCACCAAAAAATCAAAATAAGAATCGGAACTCCCCTAAACAAACCACGAACTTATCGAAATGACATATGAATTCCGCTAATCTTGCTTGCACAGAAGCTTGGCTTCATCCCTATTCGATTATAAGGACCGTAAATATTATATCATTAGCTCTAAACCGGGACACCATGATCAAATTGAAAATTTTCAATTTGATTACGATCGAACTCGTACTTTTTTTTCGATTTCTGTTATTACAACAGACCGTCTTTCGAATTTTTTTTACTCGTCTGGATTTGACTTTTCATCGTTTTTTCGATTTCATAACGTATCGCTTCTTTGGATATCTTTTATCTTTCGGAGATAATCATCCTTAAAAAATAGTCGTTTCCGGGTACTCCGGGAAAATAACGTGTAAACACCGAGCCCATACAAAATACCACTATAAAAATATTTATTGTTGTTGATGAAAATACTCATGACATAACTATGTATACTGTATATTTATATATATTTTCCTTAAAAAAAAAAAGAATCAATAAATATGTAACATTCGTATGCATCCCTTGAAATTGAATCCAATATGAATAAATATAGTCTTTACTGTGCATATCGTATCCCCATATAGGTTCAGGCTCCAAAGTCTGGCCAAATATTTGAGCAAGATATTTCTGGCACCATTCGCGTCCCAGTTCATCTCCACCTTGCACAATTCAATTAAACGTTTTTGATCCACCGAGATCATTTTTGGCGAATCTACAATTTCCACACGTCTTTGATTAAAATCACGGTTACCCCACTCGATTAATCCAAAGAAACGGAAACACTCAAGTAAAAAGATCGTTCTGAGGTAATAATATTCATAGGAGCGCGTATTGCTCTCTGTTCCTATTCCAATCCCTAGCAAGAATCGAGATGGTTTGTTGTTCGATCCTCCTTTCATTCCTAATTATTTCCATGCAACTTCTTGTTTGTTTTGTATGTGACCATCAATTTCGAATCGTGCATGAACGTACTTTCCTAGGGTTCTCTTTTACCAGAGGAGTTCTTCGGTTGTGAAGCACTCGTCGTTCAGATATGACGCTCATGTCGGTGACTCCATCTTCCTGCACCATTTTAAAGAACCTTGTTATACGTCCATCTCACAGCTCCCATCCACTTCTCTTTCTTAGGACGTTGGGTAAATCCGTATCTTTCGTGTCTCTAATCTCTGCTTTGTCGTTTTCGGTTTTCAGCTGATCTAAGATAGTAATGATTGATAATGGGTTCTTGGTAAGCTCGCCGAATTCGATGTCATCGACGTTGACGTCCGAACCGAGTACCACGACCTTTGCACTGTTCTTGTCAAGCATCCTCATACGCCAATCTGCAGAGTCGTCCCTCCTAGTAACCTCAAACCTTCTCGATATCTCGGTACGATCGTTCCAGAATGGATGCGAAACACTTGCGTTTCCAGTTGAGACACGACCCAATATTCATGATCTGGATATTTCTGCCTGAGGTGCTCGCATCGCTTGTCAAGGTCCTCTTTCTGTTTCTTTGAGCTAACCCTTGCGTAATGGATCTTTTGATAAAATTTCGCATTTTTTTCTGATCCCATGTGCTTCACGATACTTTGTTATTGCCCAAACATATGAAAACGCAACTTATTATGCTTTATAAAAATATTGATTCATCAACAATGGTGCAATGATGATGATTCAAATCAATAATCAGGTAATATAAAATAATTACTATTATTAAATATTTGATTTAATAAAATACCGTATTTTTCGAGTATCGTGATTTAAAGTCACGTGGACACCAAAAAAGGCTTTAATGCATATCACGTGAATGAAGATACACCACGTGAACAATATGTCGCATTCCACATTCGGAAATCAACTAGAAATATGTATATGCCCACGCAATAACTTAAAATATTTGACAGGAGAGGCGAACTTGTGTCCATTTGGAGGAATATATATTTGTAGAGTTAATTATTCTCCCCTAACAAAGTCTTCTATTGTGCTTAAACCATCGGTGGTGTTTTAGTGGAATTTGGTGAAAGGAGAATGGGTTGACCCTATTATCATTCTTATTTTTCAAAGACAATAAAGAAAATGTGTGAAAGTAAAAAACGGAAACGATAGAAAAAATTGGTAAAATTACATTTTTCACACATGGATAACTCTTCTAATCAAAACAAATAACAAAGGCCCGTACAATAAACCTTTTTTTTTTTTTCTTGGCTTGGTGTGCCCAGAATCCTGTAATTGGTTAATTCTGCGTGCTGTGCTATATGGAAATGATATTATGATACGTATAATCGTATCTGATAACCATCGATCAACTAAGGCGATCATGTGATCTCAATAAATTCACGCATTGGCTATGCCTTTCTCGGCAGTGCCGGCACTTTGAATCTACCATTAATGCATTCAATTTCTCTGTTTGCAAAGCAAAGGATTTCCCCTTTATTAATTATCGGTTTATCATCAGCAATCTTTTGCTGACCGACAAATTCCGGCCCTATGTCACACATTTTATTGTACACTTTCGGATTAAAATGATTAGCGCTGCTGTAACCCACTGTGTAGTGGCTACGTAACATGTTTGAATCAAGAAATTTCTGAATTCCAAGAATTTACCATTTGGTGTTTATGCATTTTTTACATTGATTTACCCTAACAAAATTACGTATACGAAATTAGTGTTTCTTCAATATACCTTTTTTGTTCATGGTTTATGTATATATACGTAAGTATTTCATTGCTTTATTTGTGCGCTTTCTACCGGTTATTCACCTTTTTGACTTGCTAACCTCTATTTTTTCTCTCATATTTCATTCATTAATTCAATGTGTTTACGAGATTTAAATAATTTTTCGGCAAAGAAAATCATGAATAATTACAAGAAAGATGATGATGACTTTTCTGCCCCGCAGCTGCAAGAACATGATGAACAAACTCAAAAGTTGGTGTCCCCAACAGATGAAACTTCTTCTCCTTCACTGCAATCCTATCATGTCGAGTTTCTAAAAGGAAGGCAAAAGAAGAAGAAAAAGAGAAAATACACCTCCTACAGTTACACCTGGGTAGTTAGAGATTTCCAAGACCTGTATGCCGACAAGACAAGAAAATACATTTTCAGCGATTCCTTCACCTGCCCCGTCCCTTTACCCTGTAAAGATGATGATTGTGACTCTGACGACGAAGACCTTTGGACTTCTTCGAATTTCTCCAAACAACTGATTAATGATATCGATGTTGATACGGATCTGGAAGAAAGTCAAGATGCGTGTCACCCAGATTTAACAAAGGAAACCTCGTCGCCCAATCAGCCACGACTTGAACATAAATGGCGCCTACTTCTTTACCCACACGGAAATCGTAAAGACGTTAACACTCATATTTCACTTTACCTGGCACCAACCCAGAGTCTTCATGAACGTCAAAATAGCCTTGAGACAAGAGTGGCGAAATGGAGATTTGAAATATTTCGCATTAACGAAGAACATGATGACCAAATGATGGGTCTGACAAAGTTGGATTGCCACCAGGATGTCATTCAAGAGAAGTTCACATTCGCCTCCAGCGAACCGAACTGGGGTATCGTGAAGTTCTGCGATCTCAGTAATATATTCACCAACTTTAATCCGCAAGGTCTCGAGGTTCCTCCGATCCCTACGGAAAAAGTTAATCTTGTGTTTCGGGTACACTTTCTCGACGAGAACTCTCATTTTACCACCACCGACAACAGCATAGACAATATTAACATCAATATACTGTTGAAATTGGGTCCATCCTTAAAGAACTTCTTTGATAATAAAAAATTTAGCGATGTGGAATTTGTCTTTGAAGATACCGATGAAAAATTGAGAGCTTCGAAGACGATTTTGGCCTCGAGATCTAATTACTTTAACACCATGTTTAATGGTCATTGGGTAGAATCCAATACCAATGCTATTCATATTAAAGATGTTAGTTATGAGATTTTTAAAATCATCATCTATTTCCTTTACACCGGACACATCGATAAGAACTTGGATTTCGAAGTGCTCAAGAATGTTTATTACGAAGCCGACATGAGAGAAATCCCGGAGTTATCAAAGCTCATCAGTTTTTTGCTAGTCAATCTGGTGAACAAAAATAATTGGGACGAGATATTGTTGATGGGATGGCTGACCGAAAACTCCCAGTTGTTAGAACAAGGACTGATGTATGTGAAAGGTCATTGGTTGGAGTTGAAGGACACCGATAAGATGATGGAATTGATGAAAAGCGGTGATACTCAATGGATCGAAGACTTGAAATCATGTAGTGACGGGGCAATAATTCCTTAAAGATATAAAAGACGAAGGATGATAATGAACAGAATAATTGAATCGTGGAAGAAGCCTTAATATAGAGCGATGGCCGTAAAAGTGTATATTATATCATTAATTTTGAATCTTTACTATCGACACCGCTGCGATTAATTAGAACAAACCTACGTAATTTAATTTTCTTTCTCTGCCTACCTTTGGTCTTGACGCGATGGAATTCGAGATACATTAAAGATATGATTAGAGTCACACTATGTATAAAGCCATGAACTATGATGGATCTGAAATCATTGTGGATGGGCCAAAAAAAAAAAAAAAAGCGAGCTGGAAAGAACGAGCGTAGTTGATATGCATGTACATCAAATTCACCATAGACTTTACATCGGAAATATAAATAACTGTATATTAAATGCTTATTCATAATATAATTAATAAAATATAATTCCTTTACGATCTATAATTTGATAAATTTTCATATTACAAAATTGGATAGCTATCGAGGTTTGCATTCACCCTTTTTTCTCTTCCCTCACCAACCAAATATTGAATTTTGTTTTTAATCCATATATACAGTATATACGTATTTTGAAAAAATTGGTATGCAGTATTTTAAATATTTTGACATGATTGTAATTCAAACAGATAATACAATAAATAACATAATAAATAATTTTTTTACAATCGCCCGACTCACATTTCTTTAATCTCAATTAATAAAAAGAGTATAAACTCAGGCTCTATTTAAAATATTTTTGTTTTTGTTTTAATTTAGGTTTAATTTGTTTTTTACTATAGATAGATATTCATACATTTTAAAAAATCAGATCTTACGTTTAAGATAACCAATCAGTTTTATTGTAATCTTATCTTTATAAATAAAAAAAGTGATAAATTTAAAATAAAAAACGAATTTTATGAATTACCGAATTTAAATGATTTTTTTTGTCCTTTTGTTTTTGGATAACCATAAAAAATTGATTGTAGATACAGTAAATGCAAAATAAAAATATACAATATATAATTATAAATTTTTTAAAAAAAATTTTTAAAAGTTTTAAAAAAAAAATAGAATAATTTTGTAAATAAAAAATCAAACCACCATCATTAACACAAATTGTATAAAAATATAAATAATAATAAATAAATAATTTGCTATTTTTTAAAATATATTATAATAATGCATTATCACAATTAATTTTTTTTGGTAAGCTAACATATTGTAGGTCTTGATTATCTTTTAAAAATATTTATATAACATACTGTGTATTAATAGAATATATGATCTATATGAAAAATATTATTATCTCAAAATTTTTAAAATTAAAACAAAACAATTTAAAATAGAAGAATATAAAAAATTTCAAATAAGATTATAATTAATCTTATAAGCTCAATAAAAAAAAGATATGAATTAATGATTAAAATAATAATAAAGAACTGATTATTAATTATACAGTATATTAATAAAATCTCTAGATTTTAAGTTTCATTTAAATATTTTTTTTATTAATTTTTATGCAGTAATTTTTGAATATTAAGTAAATAAATAATTTCCAAAAGTTTTGCAACATATTGTAAAATATGTTAACATTTATTTTTTTATTAAATATATCTCAACAAAAAAAAAAACTTGTCAATCATTAAAAATTCACATATACTGTATAATCATAATTTATTATAATGGAATTATTTAAAAAAAAAAAAACTATATTTTATATAAGTATCATAAATCAATAATAAATATAAATGTAAAAGTATTTTTCAAGTTTATGAATTTTAATCAATTATCAATACATCTCTTGAACTTCAAGATATATTGTTTCTCTCTACCCGCAAGACGAAATTTTACAACCTATAACACAAAATATATTACTCTTCTTTTTAAATAAATCTTTGCCATTTAATTTGTTTTTAACTTACCTCCGACTGAAATTGGTGTTCTTTCCTCATTTTTTCACATATTTCATCTGGCATATTTTCATTGATAACCAAAAGGTAGAATACTCCATTTTTAGATAACAGGTTCTTTGCAACAAATTTTGAATATTACAGGTTAAAAGAAATATTTTTAGTTTATACCATGGTCAACAAAAATAATACCTACATTTACTAAAGGTAGTATTTGGTCAATTACTTCCCTTCCATTAATGCCCCCTGCCCACGATCTCTCGAGGATATTTTTTGAGTGTACATCTTCATGCGGAGTGACGACATAAGGAGGATTACAACATATTACGTCGACGGCATGATTGAGTCTCGGCAAAAGACCGGATGTTAAATCAGTTGTTATTGCATCCAAAAGGACCTATTATGTATTTCGCCTTATATTTAGAGAAAATTCAAAATCTCGTCGTTTCCATTAAAATTGATAGTAATACCGAGTTTCTATGACCTGTCGCTATAGTTGTTGCCGTGGCATGCGGATTTATATCTGTGCACATTAAAACTTATTACGGGATTTAATAAGTATTCCTCGAATTCCTAACAATCAAGTACACGTGATGAGAACTTACGCGTAGAACCATTACCCAGTATCTGCCCCAGGAACGTTGATATGCAACCTGTACCAGAACTTTAAGAAGATTAGTAAAACCATTTTATTTTTTTATAATCAGCTATGATGCTACTTACCCAATTTCTAAACAGATACAAGGTTTGATATCATCTTTTATAAATCTTACTTCATCCTCAAGGGTATCGAGGAATAGAAAGGTATCCTCTAACAATAATGATACAGCTATAAGACATCTTGATTGTGTTCATGATAATTAAACATATTCATACCTGCTGGATTGTAAACTTTCTCGTAATCTTCCGAAGATAAATGATCAAGGTTTGGCGTTGGAAGCATGTTACAATCAAATCTGATAGCCACAAGATTACATATATTTGTCCAAAAAATTTTATATTGCATATGCAGACATATGCACAGTCAACTCAAATTTTATTTTGGTTTCATTAAAAATTCAATAATTGATTTATTTATTTATTTTAATTCATCCTGAATAACGATTCCTTTATTGGGCAAATGTAAGATCAGGAATATCTTACTCGTCGTATTAAATAATTATTTTTTCATTAAATTATTTTATTTTTTTAAATACAATATACGCATATGGTTTTTATCAAATAATTTATTTTCATTCTTTCTATGATATTTAAATAATTAAACGGCACATATTTTTAATTCTATAAAAAATATCAGGAAGATAATAATCTTTTTTTACAAAAAATATTTTATTTGTTTATAATTCAAAATAATCAATGTTAATATCATTAAATTTTTATTTTTATAAAATTGTTTGAAAAAAACAGATTATAAATTATAAAGATAAATTCGTATTATTAATATATCAATAATAAAATAATGTTTTTATCATTTTGTAGAAAAAGTAATATTAAATTTATCATATTTTGAATATAAAAATTATTTATTTTATTATTATTTTTTTTTTTAGTAGGAAAACTTTGTTGCTTTATTAAATCATAAAATTAAAAAATTATTACAAAAAGAAAGTAACAACATCTCTCACATAACCTATTGATCAGTAAGTTTAATGTTAGCTCAACTACTTTTTATAACCATCTAAGTAGTAAGGAAAGCAAATATTAAAACCATTACATATCTAAGATAGCATTGAGTAGCTAAGATCTTTATTCAGAAATATTGATAGAAGAGAAAAAAAAACAAATTGATTTGATACATATTAATAATTAATAAATAACTTTTTACATTACAACTTTGGCTTATACAGTTATAGATTCAAAGAAGATTTAAATATAAATATGTACTTTCTAGTAAATGTTTCAAAACTGTAATCTTTAATTAACACAAACTATCAAATTTAGATATTTATATGGCCAAGTGGGATGTAACTTCAAAATCTTCTAGTAAATACTTTAAAGGATTTGATTAGCTTAAGCTATTAAATATAGGAGCAAAAATATCAAGCAGAGTACAACTTCTACATATACAGTATTTTATTTAAAAATTATAAAAGTATCATATATTAGTGTTCTCATTATTAATTTTTTCAAAATTATAAATTAATTATTAACATTATAACATTAATAATGGATAATATGATTTTTATGAAATATGATTGATGAAAAATATTTATTGATTTTTTAAAAAGAATAAACTGATTTTAATTTTTTTATATTTATATATGTAAGTAAAAAAAAGTTAAATTAAAGGTCCTTTTCTATATAATCTTTATTATTAAAATGTTTGAGTCTGAATAAATTTAATTAAGAGTTCTATTCTTATACAGCTTGAGTTTTTTCAACCAAACTCTTAAAGTTAGCTTATATGTAACAAAACTTGAAGTATGATAATTTATTGTATTGGTTTTGATAAAAATGACTTTTTATTTTAAAGAAAAAAAACTAGTCTTTTATTTAATAAGCTTAGAATTTAACCTTCTATATATAATATCTAAAATTTCTTCATTTAAACCTCTTAAATTTTCAGCTAAAATAAAACAATTAGAAATCTTCTTTAGAAAAAAATTTTTATTTTTAATAATAGTAAAGAAAAAAAAAATTTCTTTGAAAAAAAATTAACTTGATAAGCATTCTTTTCTTGTCTTGTTAAAATTTTCTAAAAATAAAGTTTTTCAAAAAATTAAAAAAAACATGAAAGAGTTTCAAAAAAAAAATTATATACTATACAATATATAAATAAAAAAATAAGACCTGTGGGTCCATAGTATAGTGGTTAACACTCCACAGGTTAAATCACAAGATACCAGTTCAACCCCAGGTGAAGGTAATTGAATTGAATTAAAAATAGTATTTGGGGCCATAACCTGTTAAGTCCTGTTTTCCATAAGAAGTCATTCGTATGCTGATCCAGTAGGATGTTGGCATTGTGATTTCCAGAAAAAGTGTCGTGGCGCGATAATCATCCGGTTGGTATTATAATGATTACCAGAAGTTGCAAGATGTATAAGGTGTCCACTTTCGACAAGCAGGTTTGGTGATCCTTCTTTTAATATCTGATATCTTTCACACAGATCCCTGCCCTAGTCTCATCCCAATCTAGTAATAAACCGGTCTGGCAGTACTTATTCTAAGAAGGCTTCTGGCTATAAGTCCTGTTCTCTGCAATGTGTAAGTCAGTATTCAGGTGTTAAGCACCAGTTATAAGTACCTTGAACGTTCTTAGGTATCATTGAACAGGTAAGAAATTAAATGGTTAGCCTAGCTGCAAGTGGTGATAAAAGGATTTATCTTCGATGAAGTAAACAATAATCATATAGCTTTATTTGTCATAAATAGTACCTTTAGTTTCTCCTTTAACTTTCTCTTAATTCCTCTTCAGTTAGAAATAAAGCTGTCTGATTACTAGTGAAAATGCACGTTACTGGTCCAACAAAAGATTACCTTTGTTCAGTAGATTAGCCTCTATGCCTAATATAGTTAGGAACAAGCTATAGCAAACATCATTATTTGAAGCAATCCCGATAAGTGTTGGGTATAGTTGATAATCAATATATTATAGCATAGTCCTAAATAATAATGTCAAAAGATATATGCAAACATTGTTATTGAATAAATATTCAGCCAGACAATTATCGCTAGTGCACTTTAAAAAAAATAAATAAATAAAATAAATAAAAAATAATATTGTAAAAAACAAAATTTGTATAGTTTTTAATTTACTAATTTTGTTAAATTTATATAAATAAATTCAAAATATTATTATAAATATATTAATATTAATTAATTGTAACAATTTATAGCCATATCTATTGATCTATTAATTTATTGTATAAGATTTATACTATTATGAAATTATATTTGTTTTTTATTTTTAAATATAATTTTATTAAAGATTTCATAATATAAATTTTAATTATAGACTAAGTATTTATAATTATTTTTTTATAGTATTGAATCAAATAAATAAAACTTTAAATATTTTGTTACTAAAATATTTAAAAGATTTTTGAAAAAAAAAAGTAGGCAAGTAAAGAAGGCTTTTGTTTTTAAAAATATATATTAAAAAAATATTTAGACTTTATTATTAAAAATATAAAATTCTTCAAAAACATTATTTTTTAAATTAACAAAAGAATTAGCAAAAAGAATTTTTTAATAAAAAGTTAAAATTTTATATTTATTATTATTATACTATATTGTCATATGCCAATCCAACCTCAAAGACCAGCATAGGACAGGAAACTGATAGTAGAAAGACATTTTGAATAGCGGAGGCCAATGTGATATTGTTACGGTGAAATACGGCGAGTCTGTCGCTTCTGTTCTGTCTACGCTGTACTACGTTGGAGAATGGTTTCTCCTCA